GTATATGGATACATTAAATTATACATTGAATTAAATTATAATATCTAGCAATATAGAATCTTGATAGTATGAAGGAATGCAGGGTTTCCATTGTAAGGTCATCCTATTTTTTTAAACATTAAAGGTGTTCCCATGTAGAAGCCACACTAAGATTTACAATTTTTAAAAACTTCTCTGTGTAATGTAACAAACTATATGTATATAACCTGTAACCCTGGGGCTCTTCTGCAGTTGTTTGGTGGGGACCCCAGTGTTCACTGTCATCTGTGCATTCCAGTAAAATATACTTGGTTGCATCAATCTCCAATCTTTTTATTCCTAATTTAAAATAAGCAATTTTCTCACAACAAAAACTATAAACTGAGTTAATCATTTTATGAGAAAAGAGGGCAGGTTTTTTTTCTTTTATCAATCTTATACCAGTGAATACAACTGGCTGTGTTACTAACTTAATACAGAATATAGAAAATATAGCAATAACAAAGTAGTGCACTCTTAGAATGCTATAGTACATTAAGTTTACTTCATCAGATGACATGGAAACAAAAGATTTGAGGAGGATAATTGTGCATCAGCAATACACTTAAAAGTGCCTAGCAAAGAATGTCGTGGTAAACATGTCCCCATCCAATCTTATTTTTTTGGTCTATATCGCTTAAGTCAGGTACTCTTGAACATACAGTAACTAACTTGACAGTTTCATTATAGTGTAAATTAGGGTCAACAACCTTTTTAGACAATGGGCACAATTTTGTGTGATGGCATGGGCATCAAAAATATAAAAACAGAAGGGAAAAAAATCAGTAGTTTCTGTGGAGATTTATTGTAGGAATCCAGATTAAAGGTTCCTTGACAAATGGCTGTCCAGCCTAGGTTTGAAGGGGAACTTATCATCTCACTGGGTGATTGGTACCTTGCCAAACTGATTCTACCATTAGAAGTGCTCCTATAGCATTTAACTGGAATTTGACTCCCCTTAGTCCATGTCATGTACTCTTATGTTAGAGGATTTATTCAGTGACTTCTTCCTGAGGAGCTCTAATATCTCCACCCCTTGGCAGTTAATCTCAAGGTAGAACACACCAGTTACCTCAAACATTCCCAATGGCACTCAATTCCGAATCTCCTCATTATTCTCATCAATTTTCTTTATACCTGTTCCAGTTTCTCTGAATCTTTTAAAAATGCAGTGCCCCAAACTGGCTGTGTTCTTCAGGTGAATTCTGAGCGATGCAGATTACATCTGAACTTATTACTTTCTTTAAATTAGAAACTATACTTTTTCCATCAACCAAATATTGCATTTGCTTTTTTTTGTAGCTATATCATTTCTGTAAGTTCATTTTTAAATATACATACAGGATTATTTTCATATGTACTATTCTTGAGACAGATGTCTCATGCCTGTGAATAGGACTGTGGTTTTCTTTTTTTTTCCCCCTTTGTGTTTTGCTCTATTAAACAGAGTTCTGTCCCTTTCTGTCCCTGCCTCTAATTTATTTGAATCAAATGCAACCACCAATTGATATATGCTTTCTTCTCCCCCACTCTCCTTTGCCCTTCTCTTTTTCCTTCCCTTTCTTCTCTTGTGCCACTACTTTTTATAAGCCATCTGACATTTTGTGATGTGCGCTCCACAGTGATGGTGTTCTACAGTTACTGTTTGATAATAGCATTGTTCTATTCTAAAGCCCTCAAGAACACCACCTTGTTTTGCCAGGGTAACCATGTGAAGGAAATCTTGCTGCATTTTTATGCTTTGGTTGCCCGTTCTGGGACATTTTAGGTTAAATGTTTTTGTGTCTCTGCTACCTGTAAGTATAGCCAGGGAGAGAGAGAGTGCTGGGAATATAAATGACTAGGCCAATTCAAAAGCAATTGGATCTGTCTGCCAAAGAGACTTGAGCCACAGGGAAAAGTAGTAACTATAAAATCGGGCAATTTTCACAATATTGTTTGGGGAAATAGATTTTTGCTATACTCCCTCCTCGTTTTTTTATGGATCACTCTGATGCTTTAACACCATACGTTGAGCAGAGTCTCAACAGGAAAGTGTCACAGTTAATCTTAGATCTTTGTAGTGTTATTAATATGCCTTATGTTATAGTCCAAATGTTTCCTGGTTGTGACAGGCAAGTCATTAGAATAAAACCCTATGTATTGTTAGGTAGAAATGGCAACAAAATTCAACAAACAAAGACTTCGCTCAGAATAAATTATTGGATTTTTTTTTAATGTTGCCTTTACAGTATACAGAGACACTTGTACTATACCATCTAATATTATGTTAATATATTGAAGTTTTCTAAAAGTAGTTTCAGGGGTGATTAATCATTTATTTTGCATTTATGTTAATTTAATGCCACTCTTCTCAGAAGGGCATAGATCAGTGTTTCTCAACCTTGACAATTTTAAGGCATGTGGACTTCAACTCCCAGAATTCCACAGCCAGCATTGTTGGCTGTGGAATTCTGGGAGTTGAAGTCCACATGCCTTAAAATTGTCAAGGTTGAGAAACACTGGCATAGATGATTTTGCCCCATCCATTTTTTTAGAGCTTCTCCATATCTCTCTATGAAAACCCTCAAACTCCTAGAGGCATTCTCAGAATAACCAGCAATTTAATATACTAAAGCCACTGCGCAGACAGCCTGAGTTAACCTGCATTTCCACCATCTCAGCCATAAATCAACACAGAAATCATCCTCCAGTCTCCACTCTCGAAATTTATGTTTCTGGTTCTGTTTGTAGCAAGAAAAACAAAGAAAGTAGTCTGAATTTAAAAAGCCAGAAACAGTACAAGCAATGGAAGCAGGGAGAGTCATGGAAAAGGGAAGTAAGCATTGTAGTGAGGTCCCATCAGTAGGAAGGTGATTGACCTGAACTCCCATCAAGGCTCAAGTGTCTCCAGGTAAACAATGGAAGGTTTGTGATTTGAGGTTGTGGGTTTCTAGCTCAGAAGAAAACCTCAGATAAAGGCTTTTTTTCCCGAAGGAAAGTGCTCTTCTGTTCAACGGAACGTCTTGAGATAGTTAGCCCTGAGGGTTGTGATTGCCCCAATACAAGCCAATGAGTTGGGTCTGGAACCAGGATTTTATTGGTTGAACACATGAAATTAATAAGAATTCCTATTAGTTTGTGGTTTAAAATAATAAACACAAAATTAATAAAAATAAGATTATAAATACTACTGTGATATGTTTTTTGAGCACCCGTTCCCTTGTACTAAATAAAGTACTGTAGTTAGATTCTATTGTTCAAAAAACTTTTTTTTTTACAATTGCAGTATTCCACTAGCATGCTATTTTTCTTGAAAACAATTTGCAAAGGTGGGAAATGGAGTCGGTACATTTCTTATCAAGGGACTGGCTTCTTTATTTGCAGGATACTCAGGGAACAGACAGCTGATTCAAAGACTTTTCAGTCTGAGTCTAGATGAAAGAGAAACAAAGCAAAACAATTTTAGTTGAGGGATATTGATAGAATACAATATTTTTCACTCTGTTAATGCATATTACATTCTAGGAAAATAGGTGTAATATTTTCTAAATCTATATCTATAGAAAAATGAAAATTTTATCCTCTCTTTTTAAAATTCATTCCCTCTCACTCTCTTTGCTGGGCTGATGTAAAAATGACTTATGGAAGTATAGACTAGATCAGTGGTAGTGAACCTATAGCATGTGTGCCAAAGGCGGCACTCAGAGCCCTCTCTGTGGGTACACGCACCATCACCCCAGTCCCACCTTCCTCGCCGCCCATCCTCCCCAGAAGCCACCCCAGAGGAGAGTCGCCCCTGTATGCAGCCCGCACGGAGCAGTCAGCCAAGCACATGGCAGCTGGATAGCAGGAACAAGACTCCAGCCTCATGCCCCATTGCGCACAGTTGATGCTGTGGGACATGGGCGGAGGGTGTGGCCGCCATGGCACTGCTGGGCCCCTGGGTAATCTGTGGTGGGCAGGTGGGGCAGGGCAGAGTGGGATGGACCAGGTGGCAGTGCAGTTTTTTGGCACTAAGTCTCTAAAAGGTTCACCATCACTGGAATAGATCTATCATTCCAAAGGGATGCATGCAAAGGGTTAACTGTCCTGGAAAAAGTTGATGACTAAAAGTATCGCAGAGCAGAATTTTATATTGAGAATGTTTCCTTTGCACATTACGTCAGTTTGATCTTCATGAAAATCCATGTTTTCTTCTTTGAAAGCACAGTACCTTCTCATTTTGCAATTTCATGTCAGGAAAAGTTTCTAAAGAGATATAGTTCAAGTATTACCATTCAGCATGAAGCTCCATCCTGTGTAGAGTAGACAACTGATTTCCCTGCGATGGAAAATGACCTAATTTTGCTGGGATACATAATCTGTCACAAGAGGGGACTTGAAAACAAACCAGCTAGAAACAATATCTGAGCTTCTAGATAACATGGAAGAGATCAGGTTCTCTTGAGGGGTCCTGGACTCCCCGCTTTATTATTTTGTGATGGTGGATATAATGGACCAAATCCATGCTGTGGACTTTCCACAAGAGCATCCAAGCAGTGGGTAAAACCAAAGATAGAAGACATAAAATGCAGTCGGATACTTAGAATATTTTTTCCCCAGATTTTGTGAGTCATCCACCAAGGACTCAGATGGGATAAAATCTGAGAAATGTAATAAAAACTTAATTCTGAGTACAGAAAACTCTAAAGTCCAATTATTTGTACTGATTTTTTTTTAGTTTCCTAAGTGTTTTCTTTTTGTTTCTGATGAATTCTAAGCTAACTGAAGAGTAATCAGACACACTCAATTGAGTGAACTATAAAAGTCCAAAAATCTTCCTGTAGAGGCATGTAAAAAGTTTAGAGCCACATCCCCTGTACCCAATTAGGCCAAAATCCATTTTTCATTCTTTTCTTTTCAAGTCTATCTTTAACTACTTTTTTCTCCCAATTTTCTTTCTTATTTTTTTTCCTGATTTACAGATTTTAGCATATTGTCTTCTTTTTTTCTGTTAACAGGTGATCTCTGCATTGCCCAGTCATTGAAAATCCCTCAGGATCGCAAAAACAAGACCTACGAATTTGATAAAATTATCAAGCTGCTTCTAGATACACCCAGAGCCAGGGCTATCATTGTCTTTGCCTACGATGAGGATATAAAGTAAGGATGCCTGGAGAAATTAACTTGTTTACATGTAATTAATTCAAGCAAGATGGTTTAGAACATATGAGAACCTACCTTTATACAGATATATATGAATACATAGAGCAGGGAGTCTGATCTGAAAAATAGTTATAGCATAATTTGTGGCTTGGGTTGCCTGAATATATATTTTATGGTATCCACATTCTTAGGCTTAAGTCATCATCTGAGCAATAAATGAGGTGATAAGCGTGTTCTTGGGTAGTGTAATTTCAGATTAAAGGAGCAGGATTTATGGATGGATTTTTTTTTTCCCGGGTAGAAGAAAAACTCCCTGAATAATACTCTAGCAAGCTGGCAGAGAATATCAGGAAGAAACTTTCCCATGACAGCAAGTACAATATGTTTGGTTACATAAAACCTCAGCTGCTGTAGTAATGGTAAAACCTAGAAATCATTTCCAAATATCTTCTGTGTGAGCTTGGTTACAATATGTTTTGTGCGCAACAAATGCTGCTGTAAAAAAAGGAAAAAACAACAACTCTATCTCCAATCAATTGCTTACGTTCTAGACAGATTTCTCTTTCCACACTGACTTTTGAAGCTCATTATTCTGCACTTTGAAGTCTGCCTCTTCTCATCTGTTAAAGCAAGAAAGAAATCAGAAGCTTGGGAAGCTTGGGAAGCTGAATTGGGTGGATGGATGATGAGGTCACTGGCCTTGTGATTCTGTCTCTTCCACCGTAGCTCTAGAGCAGGCAACAGGAACCATCCTTGGTGGTAATTCAATTTTGTGGAAAATAAGTTTGCAACAAGGCTAAGCTACAAGGCAAAATGTTTTGATTAGGTATGCTAGTTATTGAACATTAAGATTTGAAGGACCAAACATGCAAAATATTTGAAGAATTCTATGCAGATTCATAAATATAGACTTTATAAACCTAAACTGGTTTAATAATGCAGATCGAATGTGCTACAACAGATTTTGGAAGAGATATGGAACTAAAACTACACATAATAGAAAGGAAATATTTAATCTTTCATTCTTTCTGAAAGTATTTCGATATGAAGAACTTTAGCAATTTTCTTTTCAGCACGCATTTAGAAATAACAGTAAATTCCAGCCATATCTTCTTGTTCAGAGTGGATAGCTGAGAATTCAGTAAAGGGGAGGGGGGAGAGTTACTATAGCACCAGCAACCAATGGTGAGGGTGACAAAAGTGGTACCTTTGACTAAGGGGAAGAAATTGAATAGTATTAGTCACCTAACAGTATAACAAACTAGATTAGTAGCACCTGTTAAGCAGCATCTGACATAAAAATAGCCAATTTGGGAATGCTGACCACATTTCCTGAGTATGCATAGGAGATTCAGTTTAATAGAATGCCTCTGGTCTCATGCTCAGAGCTTGAGCAAAATATGTGAGGGAAATTGCATGAGTGGCTGTGTGTGCCTTAATATTAACTTGCAATAATTTATATAACTCTGAAGCAGGAGTGCATGCATAATCAAGCAACCCTGCTTCAAATTATTACCCATTTCTAAAGTGGCACGCTTGTTAATTTAAAGGAGAGAACAAGAGCAATTGTAAACTATATAATTTATTAACACCATGTGTCTCTAGACAGAATGGATTATACCTATTATCCCTCACTTATATTGGCTGCACATCTGGAGGGTGTCAAGTTGAAGAAAGTTGAATTACATATTGATGACAGTGGTCTAGAAAAGCCTGCAAGAGTGCAGTGCTTGAGACACGGAGGTGTGTTGTTTTCTATGTGACTAATGAGAAAAAAATATCCAATAAGAATTTGTACTTCGTTTATCTAAATCACCCATGAACTGACATCATATAGAGAGCCAGTGAGAGGAGCATTTCTTAAGTCCTGTGAAGAGAGATAGTATTAAGAAGGCACTCAGGCTGAGTCATCCCTGACTCACTGGGGTAGAAAAGGGAGGGGAGAGGAAACATAGTCACATTTGCAAGATTCTTATTATTACAACCTATCTCAATAAAATATAGATCTAGTCTTCTTGTGGACTTTGTTTCCTGATCTGGGTTACCTCAAGAGGCTGATACGTTGCTACTTTTATTTGGGTTCTTATGAGAAACTAACATTTGCATACTTTTAGTCATCTGTACTTCTGAAGTATAAATTATGGTCTGGAGGTATCAGCAAGTGAGACTAAGCTCAGAAGAGAATTAGCAAGTAGTAGTTTCCAAAGGAATTATTCTTTCATAAACTAAGTAGAAATTCTAACATATTTTCTTGATAGTTTCTGTTCCTCTTCTGAGTCAAAGAGATAGCAGATTGCTCTGCAATAGGTAGACAGTCACCTCACTTCCCTCTTACTCTATTTGTTTATTCTCTTTTCACAATTCCAGTTTTGCAGCTCTAAGGCCAAGAGGCTTAGAATCATGTCTATATATTTTCCATTGGCTTCAAAGACAGGAATCTGAAATACTATAGCATCAAAGAATTGTTAACTTTCAGAACTTTCCAGAAAAAATATCCTGACAAAATGAAGTCATGAAAGGGGAAGAAACAGTAAAAGAGAGGTCCATGAGAATAAAAATAAAATACTTGTCAATATAGCCATTTTAGTCAGGAAAGCTGACCCGTTTTTCTATGATACTGCCCTATATAAAGGGTTGAATTAAAGTGCTGTGATTCTCCTAATAAGTTATGGTCTTTTAGATTTTGTTTTGCAATGCAGTGAAAAAATAAAAGACAAGCAGTTGGGAGACTTGAAACCATCAGAGCCAATGAAGCCTATTGATTAGAAAGGCTATAAAAGTGTGCTGACTATAAAAAAAACCTGCTGACCTTACAAGGTTCATAGCAGCCAATCCTACGTCTATAGTCTGCGACAGATGTGTTAGTTATCACACAATAAATTAGGTTTTGCTTCCATAACCCTAACTATTGATTTTCCATTAATCTAAAAAAGGAAAACAGTGAAAGCAACAAGTTTAACTTGAAGTTGAATATTAATATTTGCTTTTAATCCACTACCTCTACTTTTCATATCATGCCAAAATAAAGATTGCCCAGGATCTGAATTTCCTTTTATGGATTTTTTCTCTGAGTTCTTTCCTCAGGCAAAATCCAGTTTGACATTATTTCCCCCAAGTGTCAACCATTGAGTTAGAATACTGGAATTCAATTTCCACTTTTGACTGGAAGGACAAATGCAACTAACAGGTCTCTGTTCTGATATAATAAGGTTTATTTGAAATCAGTAGACCTGGGGGGAAAAGGGAAGAAAGAATATTTATGCACAAGGCTTACAGCATGGGTGTCAAACTCGATCACGTCACATGACATATCGTGATGTATCACAACGTTTTTTGCTTTTGTGGAGCAGGGTGGGCATAGCCTGTGCATGACTTATCCGGCCCATGGGCAGTCAGTTTGACACCCCTGGCTTACAATTTATGACTAAAATTAGCTCCATCCTATCCCAAACTGAGTATCCTTCCCCAACCAGCATGGATATTGATGAGAATTCTAAAAATTAAAAGTCCACATTCAGAAATGGTGGTCTAATAAAAAAGATTGCAAAACTGGTCAGTTATACCAGTAGACAGATATACAATCACCATTTAATATTACAGAGATCAATTCTCAGCCCTGTGTTCTTCAAATATTTATAGATGACTTGGATGATAAATCAGAAAATATAATTATCAAACTTAAAATGAAAGATGGATTGCAAGTCTTTGGAGGAGAATATTAAAATTCTAAAAGATCTTGACAAACTGGAACAATGGGCAGAAACCATCAGGAGGAATTTCAACAAGGACATGTATGCAAAGTCCTACATTTGTTTGGGAGGAATAAAAGTTGTGAGTAGGAAAGGGAGGGAGAAATCCTACCAGGCAGCAGTAACACAAATAAGAACGGGTAATATTGATTAATCAGCAGCTGAATCTAAGCCAACTATACCATATAGCTGCAAGGAACAGGCAAATGCTCAGCTGCATCAGAGAAGTATAATGTCAAGACATTGTAAAGATAAATTTCATTCTATTCTGCGTTGTTCAGACAGAACCTAAAATCTTCGGTCTGATTCAGGTCTGCATTTTAGGGAGGAAGAACAGCTCTAGTAAAGAACAGTTAAAATGATAAGTGGGCTAAAATAGAAGAAAACTTGCAAAGAATGGTTGGAAGAACTCTGGAGAAAATTATTTATTTATTTATTTATTTATTTATTCATTCATTCATTCATTCATTCATTTATTTATGTATGTATGTATATGACACATTTAGAAATCAGCTATTTTTTCCCCAGTGTATATAATCAAGCAACTGAAAAATTATTAAAGATTGCACAGAGTTGTTCCAAAAACAAAAACAAAAACAAAAAAGAAGAAGAAGAAGAAGAAGAAGCATTTTACATTACAAGGAGATAGAGTTGGTGAGATACCATGTTAAAAAAAAAGTCCTGTACTGCAATGGATTGCCTTATATATTGGCAAGGGCACTCTTCTTCTGAAGCTAGATGGTAACTTGTCTGATATGCTTTAGTAGTAGATACCTGCCTGAATGGAGGCTTAGAGTAGATAATTTCCAAGGCTTCTTTAGTTTGTTATTCTTCAATAGAAAGCAGCTGAGTTAGAAAAGCATATAAGCTGAAAGGCAAAAGAGAGATATAGAGGGATAACATAGCTAGGACTGTTGCAATAACTTGATGGGCCTTTTGCTGTAGGGCATTTGCTGCAAAATGCAAGGTTATAGCATGAACTCAGAAGGAAGGGAAGAGATGTGTATTTCAAAGCCTGCCTAACAAAGATAAAGGAAGAGGGAATGTGGCTAGGTGGGGCCCCTTTCAATGTAGAAAGCAAGAGCTGACCATCAGGTATATCATACAAGACATATTACTAAGATAAGGAATAAGGCTAAGACAGAGTAGTAGAGGATGCCTATTAACTTTTAAGAATAGGGTTGAAGTAGAGCCAATAGAATACTGGTTAGATAACTTTTGAAGTGTTTATTAGTTAAGACTTAGAAATAGGGATGGCGTTAAATAACTTTTAAAAAGCCTACTAGACAATGTTTCTTTATCCTGCCTTGAGAAACTGTATAAAAGCTTGTTGAATCCTTTGTCCTGGATCCTGGCATTTTGCTGGCTGGGACCCTTTTGCTGAAGCACTTCTATAAAAGGAAATCAATCCTGCACCTTATGTCTGGTAGTCTTCATCAGCTTTGGCACCAGGCTAAGACCCAAATTTGGGGACACCAACCTGTTCTTGGCTCTTTTATAAATAACATATTATGCCCTAAGAACTAGGAGTGAAGCTGGTCCATTTCCCCCAAATTCCATGATTCTAAGAATACAATGCCAAGAAGGCCTCACAAAGTTACTTTTTTCTGCCCCTGAGTCATTCAATCAGGTTAAGAGAGAATTTTCATATTGGTTATGACTGGGAAATAAATCCCCTACTTAATGCAAAATTTCAGAGTATTTTCATGGTTTCATATTTAATGCATTGCAAGGCAACATGTTGCCCTCACATAAGAGAAGACTTACATAATGTTGGTTTTATTGTGTATAGTTTGGATATGTGGCTAATGTGATATTTTATGAAAGAAAAATAAAAAATATTTCCAAGAACAGCAAAAAGAAAAATAAATATTGCCATACTCTATAATCACACCATATTCGTGCTTTGTGTGTCTGTGTAAATCTTCAGGCCTGGCACTATTTTATTAAAAACTGTTTTGTGGATCACAGAAACATTTTTTCTCTTGGTACACTCATTTATATTCTGTTTTCTTTGTAACCAATGAATTTTCACTGCTTTGTTTCAGGATAGCATACAGGAAATTGGTAGGAAGTTAGGGAATGTGATCTTTTCTCCTCTGAATTAGCAAGTACTTCAGTCTGTTAGAATATAATATATATTGAAGATTTTGTTTTGAAGAATTATATGAGATCATTCATCTGACATTTCTGCATAGTATAAGGAGGTGGGGAGGAGAAAAATATAATGCATTCAAATATTTTCATTCATTACCTCATTGTTAATGCCAGGATAGAACTGAATGGTGTATTGGTTCAAATAGCATGAATGCCTGGACTGGTATAGTTATTCCCAAATTTACTCATTCCATTCTTGCTATATGCTCAAACAATGTTTCTTGTGTTCTCATTTCATCTCAGAAATGAAACAAGAGTTGTTATTATGCTTGATTCTCTTTGTAAGAATCAATAGTGCCCCTGAAAATAATTTTAGATGGATCAATGAACAGTAATTTCGTAAAAAAAGTAGTATATGTAGGAAAATGGGATTCTGCTAGGTTTGGAAACAATGGTTTGGTTGATTGAATAATCTTCTCGGACTGAATAATCTTCCAGGCTGTTTGTGATGAAGAAGTGAGAATTATTCAAGTGTAATTTTGCATGTGTGATGAACTTCATTAGACTTTTGCAATAACTTAGTTGAATGGCATCTTCCTGTTGCATTATTTTATTTTTTACCAAACAAATTAAACCATTTATTTCTTGGCCAATGAAAATCTCAGGGATTAGCAATATCTAAAAGTATATCTTTGAACAAATTTCTGATTGAGAATACTCTGTCCAATTTTTGTCTGGTCATGGCTATAAATAATTGTATTCGGTGTTACACATTTATTTTTCCCAAGTGGAACAATGATTTCTACCTCCATTAGCCTGAACCAAATCCAGTTTGATCAATCTTCTTCCTCAGGTGTCTCTAACTTGATTAAATTAAAAGATTATGCCTAATGACTCATATTCTAGCTCATAGACATAATTGTTATCCTTAGCTACATGGTTCACTTCACTGTATTTTAAAAGAATCTTTTAATTTAAAACATATAGGAAGATGACTTGCTGTGAAGCAAACATTACCCTCTTTATTTTCAGAGTACTTCTGGATCCAACACAGAATATATAAACATCTTTAGAAAATAAAATTAGTGGTGTGGAAAGCTTGAGGTAACTGTGATCAATAAGGGGCAATGGGAAAGAACTTCAGCAGTTTTCCTCCACAAAAAAAACCAGGTGCAAGTAGTCCTTGGCTTATGACCATAATTGAATTAAAAATTTCTGTTGCTGAGTGAGACAATTATTAAATGAGTTTCCCCCCATTTTATGACTTTTCTTGCCACCCTTGTTAAGTGAATCACTGCAATTGTTAGATTAGCAACCTGGTTGTGAGTCTGGCTTCCCCATTGACTTTGCTTGTCAGAAAGTTGCAAAAGGTGGTCACACGACCCTGGGCCACTGCAACCATTATAAATATAAGCCAGTTGTCAAGCATCCAAATTTTGATTATGTGATCCTGGGAATTCTGCAACAGTCATAAATATGAAAAACAATCATGCCGTTAAAACTTTGAATAGTCACTAAATGAAAAGGTGCAAGTTGAGGACTACCTGTACATATATTGTGATGAAACCCAATGCAACAGCCATTTTACGAATAAATAATCTTCTTTCATGGCAGTCATTTTGTAAGAAAAATATTCAAAATTATAATTGGCTCTTATTTCTTCAGCTGAACCTGTGAGAGTGAATGTAATTTTATTAGTAGCTAGAAATCCAAAAGACATTCAAGCTGCTTTGAGTCCAGAATTTGTTTTATTTTATTAAATGCAGACCTCGAGTTGAGAGTTGCTTCATATAGATCCTAAGATTTCTTCATTCATGCAACCAGAATTGGTTGAGAAAGCTCATTTGATGCTTATTGAATGTTATCATTATTTGGGCATTAGAAATATTTTGTAATACATTGTGAATTACTTATATAGTACATCTCTGGTAGGTCCTGATCTATCCTAAGTTCATTCTTAGTCATATCAAAAGTCCATCTTGTCCAGCATTTTCTTCCCATGATCATAAATACTGTTGCACTGAAAAGCCCCTTGTAACTGAGCTAGTAATTTGTTGTCAAAAGAAGGAAGAGATAATAATTCTTTCTGTCCTGGTTAAAATTCTGACAGCATTGTGATTTTTGGTGCACTTGAGATTGCTGAAGATTCTCTGAAGCCAGTTCTCCCATCAGATCTAGCTTGTCCCCCATTTGCAGGATATAGTTAATATTGCTTGAAAGAGGCCTGGCCTTTCCTTATTTTCCCTAGCCATCTGAAAGGTTCTCCTGACTTCTTCGCCATATAACAATTCAAAAAGAAAGAATCCTATAGAAATATGAGGAGCTTTCAAGAACACCCTCAGGTTAAGCAGTTGTTGCCCAGGATAAATTCATGTGGGACTCACACCTACTTAAAAAAAAATGTTCATGTCCCAAGTTATACTGGTACTTTTGCCATAGCATAAGACCTGGATTCACTATCATCCCTTAAAACAGGCATGTCAAGCTCGCAACATCATGTGACGTCGCACAATGTATCACAACTTTTCCCCATTGCCGGCAATGGGGTGGGCGTGGTTTTGGGGTGACACATCTGATCCGCAGGCCGGCAGTTTGACATGCCTGTCTTAAAACAAGATCTTGCTCCTTTGGGATATGCAATCAGACACACACATACCCGTTTAATCAAACTGCTCACAACTGAGTATTACTTGTATTCCTTCCAATTGATACTGTATCTTACAACTAAGGTGACTATATAGTTTTCAAGACTAATAATCATTAATAGTATTATCTTCCACAAATTTCTTTAGTAGAATCTCAGAACAAAATTCAAACTGTGCTATACTATGAAAACAAAATGTGTGCTTTTTGTGTGTATTGTCCTAATACACTATTTTACTTTGTATGCTTCCTCCTAATAGTCATTTTTAGAAAGATTTATGCTATTGAGTTGGCAAATTTTGCATGAACAAGTTTATTGTACCTTTGCATAGTATGAATTAGTCAGGTTTCAACTAAAATGTCATTTAAGCACATTTCTATCTCTCCTTATGCTAGAAATCCTTCCATCAAAACTGGTACTTTTCCAGAAGACCCAAAGATGAGGATGGAAAGTATATTGTATGGTTTAGCAAGCATCAGTAGTACTAATGAACACTATGTATATCTGCAATATGACTTGATTTATGGAATATGGTGTTATTTAAGAAATAATGCTTACTTTCTAAATTATATTTCTGCATTTTCAAATATATTAAGTTTCTCAGCTGATGATACAAGCCACAAGACAATGATAAGCAGTTCTTACTCAACTGAGGTGTGTGGTTTGTTTTTTTTAAAACATTTCTGATTTTCCAGTCTGTAGGATTCATTGTTTTGGCTCATTAGGTAATTATTTTCTGCTGGTGAATGTTCCACCATATGAATAAATACTCTTTTTCTTCCCCCCCCCCTGAGAATGATAACTGTTTTCTCTTTACAGACAAATCCTTGCAGCAGCAAAAAGGGCTGATCAAGTTGGTCATTTTCTGTGGGTGGCTTCAGACACTTGGGGTTCCAAAATGACTCCAGTAATTCAACAAGAAGATGTTGCAGAGGGAGCAATCACCATCCTGCCTAAGCGGGCAACCATTGAAGGTAAGCCCTACTATTATTTTGGCCTCCATGTATACTTTTTTTCCTTACTTACATAAAGGCAGTCTGTATAAACTGAATCCATATAAAGATATTTTTCATACATCACAGTCTTCAGAAAGCTAACATCAAGGCAACCTAGTTGGAGAGGAGCCATTATGCTACCTCTCTTCCAAATTCTGCTACTTCTATAAGTAGGGCTGTTGGTTTTTTAAGCATTGTTTTAAAAAAAAAGGCTTGAGATGTTTGCAGTTGATGCTTTGAATCACTTCTGATGGCAAGAAATAGACAGCATAGTAGATATCTGAGGTGCAGATGCTTTGCTGGGAATGCTATAATCATATTTCACACAAGACACTAGTACCGTAAAGTGTGGAGTGCTGATGTAGACTCTTGATGAATGCAGAGTCAGATATATAGCAACAAACAGCAGATTCTCTAGCAATATCCAGGATTCTGTATGCATATATCTGCCTGTTTGTCAGGAGTTTTCCTTTTTGTTCCTGGGTGCCTCCCAAGTCTGGTATGAAAGAAGTCTTAGTCATCGGGAGTAGTTATACTTCAACTCTTCTTGTATTTTGTTCTCTGTTTGTTTTTTGTTAAATTTCTCTGCCACCCATCTCCCTTATAAGGTGACTCTGTTTCCAAGTATATGATTCTGTTACTTGTAGGACTACAGCTCCTACCTCAACACCACATTTGCTGTTTCGTTGGTGGTGGTAAAGATGGGGATAAGGATAATGAGCAAAGGATGCTTATGAAATAGTAAACCAGGATGGGGGTGTACATGCTTCCAGTATGGGGATCACTCCAATTGCCTAGCTAAAGCAAGCAGGAATCTCTAGTAGGCAGCAGCAATATGGGATGATATTGATATAATGACAATAGCAATGGAATCATATTGGTTAAGATAAAATAACAGTAAATCATTTCTATATTTTACTAAAAATGACAGGGATAGATAATCTAAAGTTATTAATGACCTAATGCTTGATGACGAACCTCTCAGGTCAGATGATACTCAATATGTTATTAAAGAACAACTGTAGAACTTTCACAGTACTAATGGTGTTTATGATAGAACTAGATTAACTATGATAGAACTAGCATCTAGTTGCTGCTATTGCTATGCAGGAAAAGAAGATGCAAAAACAAAAATATAGGGTGAACATGTAACACAGGAAGCATGTGTATGGGGAAGGTCAATAAAATGAAAGATTAAATGAACTGACTACACATTGACATTTTAGGCATCAGCGAATTGAAATAGAGTGAAGTTGGATCCTTTCAGTCAGAAGATCATACTATTCACTACTGAGAACATAAAAAACAAAATAAAAAAGAAGGATGGCTTTGCTTTCATAGGAAAGATATAGAAAAGATGGTATTAGAGTACAATGTAGTCAATGACCGAATAATATCAATTAGCCTTTGCAGACAATCCTTTAATATGATGGTTATCCAAGCTTATGCTCCAACCACTGAGCCAGAAGAACAGCAGCTTGATGAGTTTTGTGCTCAAGTCAATCTGAAATGTACAGAACGTGCAAGCAAGATATGTTCTTTGTGTATGAAAACTGAAATGCCAAAGTTCAAAATAGTAATGATGAAAATGAAATTGGATTGTATGGTCCAAGAAAGAGAAACGAAGCAAGATAATGACTTACCAGTTTCTGCCCATCCAAGGGCTTCTTTGTAACTAATACAGTCTTCAAGCAACTGAAGCAATGCCTACATACATGGACATCACTAGAAAGATAACACAGAAGTATAGATGTCTATATTACTGATACAAAGAGATGGAAATGCTCAATCAAAATATTAATATACCCAAGGGCAATTATGGAACAGATCATGAATTGTTCATGTGCAAATTTCAAGTTAGGCTAAAGTGGAAGATTAAAAAAAATGCAAGCAGTTTCCAGGATGAGCATATATCCATCATTTCCAAATGGAACATGGAACTTTGAAGTCCTGAATATCATTGGATAGAGACCCAGAGGAATTGTGGAGTGATACCAAAATATTCTTATAGATGAATGCAAAAAGATACCGCCAGAAAACAAAAAAACAGAAGAGAGCAAACCAGATATAAGGACAGATGATGGAAATTGTGCAGAAGAAGAAGCCCAAACTAGGAAAGACAAAGATCTTAAGAAGGAATCTCATTAAAAAATTACACAGAGCTGATAGATCAGGCAAGAAGCAGTACTACAATGATATCTGTAAATACTCTATAGCTGGAAACAGACATAGAAAAACAAACATTTCCAAAAGTCTCTGAACTCAGAAGGCTGTTCCAGCCTCAAATTGATGTGCTAAAGGATACTTAATATTAGATTCAAAGAAGATCAAACATGGAAGGACTGTACTGAAATTCTGTACAATAGGTATGTCAATATTTATTAGAACATGTACTTCTAGAAGATGAGTAGAACAGAATTCTAGTTATTACCTTGTCAGAAAGTTATAGGAACTAATGTATTATTTGCAGAAACATGTCAAGAAGGGTAATCAGTAAAGATTCTAACAATAACCAGCAAATCTGGAGAATGAGAATGATACAGTGTTCAACAGATTAGAAGAGGTTAACCTACATTCCAATATCAAAGAAAAAAGACTTAAAGTATGCAGACTATTGTATAAAATCCTTAATTTCACATCCTGGAAAAACAATGCTTAGGATCATCCGTTAGGGATTAGAGCCCTGCATAGAAAGAAAAATGCCAGATGTTCAAGCTGATTTTAGAAAAGGCCAAGGAACAAGGGTTATTAATCATGATGCGTTATAGGTAATTGAAAAAGCCAAAGAATACAAAAACAGAAGTCAAGTACTTCATTGATTAAAGAAACGCATTTGATTGTGTTAACCATGTAAAGCTATGGAATGTTATGGCAGTAAAAGATATCTCTCCTATACAACTCGATATTGCTATTATACACAAACAAGCACAATTTGTTGCTCAAGTAGACTAGTTAATTTAGAACACAAGTTGTTGTCCTAGGTATTTAATTTTTCTTGTGTTTCTCTTTAGTATATATAATGCTGCTGTAAAATGTATTGTTCTTTCTGTTCTACTCAATATAGATGCTATAAAAATACTCATTCCTTTTGGCCACTTTAACCCCTCCACTATATTGCACATGGAAAAGGCATGGAAAAGAAATGGGGGGATGTAATGATAAAAGGTACCTCCCCATTCACATGTGAGCTGTATTCACTACCAAACCTATGAGATGCCCTCCCCCCCAATATATGTGAATTGCTCAAAGAGGCCCTTGTAATAAGACATTCATAGCAAACTTGATTAATCTTGAGTGGCAACAGGGGGAAGAATCAGGCAACTGGAAGGGACCTTGGTGTCTTCTAGTCCAACCTTCTACCCAAGGCAGGAGTCCTTATATCATCCCAGACAAATGGTTGTCCAATCTTTTCTTGAAAATCTCCACAGTTCTGTGAGACAAGTTATTCCATTGATTAATTGCTGTCACTGTCAGGAAATTCCTCTTTATTTTCAGGTTGGGTCTCCCTCTGACATGTTTCTACCCATTGCTCCTTATTTTGCATTCAGGTGTTATGGAAATTAAATTGACATCTTCTTCCCTGTGACAGCCCTTCAAGTATTGGGAGACTGCTATCAGGTCTCCCTAAGTTTTCTCTTCATTAGACTACATAAACCTAATTCCCTTAGCCCAGTAAACCATTTTTTATACTCACCGATCATATGTTAAAAATAGCATAGCTAGCGTATTAAATTAGTAGGAAGGTGTAAATAATAAGGTCACCCAGATGCCTTTATCAACAGCCCTTCAACATCATGCTGTAATGGCCTTTGTCTGTAGACCAAAGACATATAAACTTTGGTTCTGCTTTTACTTTAGGAGTCTTTAGCAAACTACTAGTGCTTTGCTGGGATCTTGGTGTACATTGTTGTTTGCAGGCTTAATACATTTATTTTGTATTTTCAAAGTGATTTGATTGTTTTAGGTGAGACAGATTTTGGCCATAGTAATGACCTTAGGAAAATGTACTGATGAGAAACCTATACACAGGATAGGATAGGAAGTCAGTGTCAGTTCCAAGTCAACAAAGGGTTGAGATAAAGCTGTATATTCCATATTTATTCAACCTATATCCTGAATATATATTGAAGAAGGGTGGATTTGAAGTAGATGACAGTTTTAAAACTAGATAAGAAACATCAGTAACCTGAATTATCCTGATGCCACTATTCTGTCAAATGAAAATGCAGATGATCTGCTACCTTCAGTAATGAAACCGAAGGAGTATAATAAAAAAAAAATGAGGCTAAGATTAAATATTAAAAAGACCATGCTAATGGTAACCAGTGCATCAATCATCTTTAGAGTTAAAAAGAATAAGCAGAAAAGATGCACATAGTAGTATAGTTATGAAGTCCTTAGAAAGTGTATTGTGGGTGTCTTGATGTGTTTATACCTACAAGAATTAGAATGCGAGAAATGATTGTCCCTTTGATTCTCTATGGGAAGAAAAAAAGGACCTCTGTAGCAGGAAAGAAAGAGTAATAACATTTTTTGAACTTTGGTGTTGAAGATTGCTGAGAATACCAATAGATAGCTGGAAAAGCAAACAAATAGATCTTTGTATAAACTCCTAGCTCACTTGAGAAGTCTATAAAATCTTAAAATATGGAAGGCAGTAGAGGAAGCGAATGATCAGCGGCAAGATGAATGGGCTTGATTGCAGAAGTGAGGAGTACATCTTGTGAAAAGATCATCTTGGAAAATATCTATGTGGTTTATTTATTTATAAAACCAATTTACATAAACATCTGTCTCATAAGCAAGGGACTCTGAGAAGCATACAAGAGAGCTAAAAACAAATAATAAATACATTAAAAAGTATAAAACCAAACTAAGATAAAGAATAAGTTGCTAAGAAATGTGATGACAAATAATCAATTAGTCAATTACTACTGTTGCCTTGGCAATTGATCAGATGCATATTTGAACACATGAAC